TACACTACAAGTCACAATTCTTTCTGACTATGCAGACATTCCTTTGACCTAGTATATGTTTGAGTAAAGAAAAAGCTTCAGTCAACTTCAGTGTACGCATAATCTGATTGTTTGATACATGTATCTAAATACCTTTTGCCAGGGCTGGGGTAAAACAATTCCAAATCAGACATCTTGTTTCCAAATCAGGAGGCCTTCAGTACCCGGGTAGGGTCGGGTAATAAGGGGTTGGGTAACCGGGTAGTACATTTGGACTCGTCCCAGCCCTACCGTGAGGTATATGATATATACAGAGAGTGATGGGTAACATGGTATATGTAGAGAGTGATGTGTAACAATATATAAAGAGGGAGATGGGTAACATGGGGTATATATAGAGAGACATGGTGACATGGTATAGAGAGAGTGATGTGCAACATGGTATAGAGAGAGTGAGGGTAACATGGTATATGGAGAGAGTGAGGGTGACATGGTATATGGAGAGAGTGATGGGTGACATGGTATATGGAGAGAGTGATGGGTGACATGGTATGTGCAACATGGTATAGAGAGAGGGTGAGGGAAACATGGTTTTTTAGAGAGAGTGATGGGTGACATGGTATATGGAAAGAGTGATGGGTGACATGGTATATAGAGAGAGTGATGTGCAACATGGTATAGAGAGAGTGAGGGTAACATGGTATATGGAGAGAGTGAGGGTGACATGGTATATAGAGAGAGTGATGTGCAACATGGTATAGAGAGAGTGAGGGTAACATGGTATATGGAGAGAGTGATGGGTGACATGGTATAGAGAGAGTGAGGGTAAGATGGTATATGGAGAGAGTGATGTGCAACATGGTATAGAGAGTGAGGGTGACATGGTATATGGAGAGAGTGAGGGTAACATGGTATATGAAGAGAGTGATGGGGGACATGGTATAGAGAGAGTGATGTGCAACATGGTATAGAGAGAGTGAGGGTAACATGGTATATGGAGAGAGTGATCGGTGACATGGTATATGGAGAGAGTGATGGGTGACATGGTATATAGAGAGTGAGGGTAACATGGTATATGGAGAGGATGAGGGTAACATGGTATATGGAGAGAGTGAGGGTAACATGGTATATGGAGAGAGTGATGGGTGACATGGTATATAGAGAGGGAGATGGGTGACATGGTATGTGCAACAGGGTATATAGAGAGTGAGGGTAACATAGTATATGGACAGAGTGATGGGTAACATGGTATATAGAGAGGGAGATGGGTGACATGGTATGTGCAACAGGGTATATAGAGAGTGAGGGTAACATAGTATATGGAGAGAGTGATGGGTAACATGGTATATAGAGAGGGAGATAGGTGACATGGTATGTGCAACAGGGTATATAGAGAGTGAGGGTAACATAGTATATGGAGAGAGTGATGGGTAACATGGTATATGGAGAGAGTGATGGGTGACATGGTATATAGAGAGGGAGATGGTTGACATGGTATGTGCAACAGGGTATATAGAGAGTGATGGGTGACATGGTATATGTAGAGAGTGAGGGGAACATGGTATATGGAGAGGGAGATGGATGACATGGTATGTGCAACAGGGTATATAGAGAGTGATGGGTGACATGGTATATGGAGAGAGTGAGGGGAACATGGTATATGGAGAGAGTGAGGGTAACATGGTATATGGAGAGAGTGATGGGTGACATGGTATAGAGAGAGGGAGATGGGTGACATGGTATGTGCAACAGGGTATATAGAGAGTGAGGGTAACATAGTATATGGAGAGAGTGATGGGTAACATGGTATATGGAGAGAGTGATGGGTGACATGGTATATAGAGAGGGAGATGGGTGACATGGTATGTGCAACAGGGTATATAGAGAGTGATGGGTGACATGGTATATGGAGAGAGTGAGGGGAACATGGTATATGGAGAGGGAGATGGGTGACATGGTATGTGCAACAGGGTATATAGAGAGTGATGGGTGACATGGTATATGGAGAGAGTGAGGGGAACATGGTATATGGAGAGAGTGAGGGTAACATGGTATATGGAGAGAGTGATGGGTGACATGGTATAGAGAGAGTGAGGGTAACATGGTATATGGAGAGAGTGAGGGGAACATGGTATATGGAGAGAGTGAGGGTAACATGGTATATAGAGAGAGTGATGGGTAACATGGTATATAGAGAGAGTGGTGGGTGACATGGTATATGGAGAGAGTGAGGGTGACATGGTATATAGAGAGTGAGATGGGTAACATGGTATATGGAGAGAGTGATGGGTGACATGGTATATGGAGAGAGTGATGGGTGACATGGTATATGGAGAGAGTTAGGGTAACATGGTATATGGAGAGGGAGATAGGTGACATGGTATGTGCAACATGGTATAGAGAGAGGGTGAGGGAAACATGTTATTTTAGAGAGAGTGATGGGTGACATGGTATATGGAAAGAGTGATGGGTGACATGGTACATAGAGAGTGATGGGTGACATGGTATATAGAGAGAGTGATGGGTGACATGGTATATAGAGAGAGTGATGGGTGACATGGTATGTGGAGAGAGTGAGGGTAACATGGTATATGGAGAGAGTGAGGGTAACATGGTATATGGAGAGAGTGATGGGTGACATGGTATAGAGAGAGTGAGGGTAACATGGTATATGGAGAATGTGATGGGTGACATGGTATAGAGAGAGTGAGGGTAACATGGTATATGGAGAGAGTGATGGGTGACATAGTATAGAGAGAGTGAGGGTAACATGGTATATAGAGAGTGAGCTCGAGGGTAACATGGTATATAGAGAGGGAGATGGGTGACATGGTATATATAGAGAGTGAGGGTGACATGGTATATGGAGAGAGTGACTGGTAACATGGTATAGAGAGAGTGAGGGTGACATGGTATATGGAGAGAGTGATGGGTGACATGGTATATAGAGAGTGAGGGTAACATGGTATATGGAGAGGGAGATGGGTGACATGGTTTATGGAGAGAGTGATGGGTGACATGGTATATAGAGAGTGAGGGTAACATGGTATATGGGGAGGGAGATGGGTGACATGGTTTAAGGAGAGAGTGATGGGTGACATGGTATATAGACAGAGAGGGTAACATGGTATATGGAGAGAGTGATGGGTGACATGGTATATAGAGAGTGAGGGTAACATGGTATATGGAGAAGGAGATGGGTGACATGGTTTATGGAGAGAGTGATGGGTGACATGGTATATAGAGAGTGAGGGTAACATGGTATATGGAGAGGGAGATGGGTGACATGGTTTAAGGAGAGAGTGATGGGTGACATGGTATATAGACAGAGAGGGTAACATGGTATGTGGAGAGAGTGATGGGTGACATGGTATATAGAGAGTGAGATGGGTAACATGGTATATAGAGAGAGTGATGGGTGACATGGTATGTGCAACAGGGTATATAGAGAGTGATGGTAACATGGTGTATAGACAGAGTGTGTGTGCTGGGTTTCATACTGTAATCTATACTGAACAACAAAAGTTCCTGTGACATTGAATAAGATTTAATGCAAAGTTTTTTACCAAATCTGAAACAATTTTGGTTTGCAACAGATAAAATACTCCTGTAAGTATTCAAATGGTTTAATTTGCCGTACTGACTTCAGAAAATGTGTTATTTCATAAAAAACATGAACATGCCAAAATGTCAATTTACAAATCAATAGCGTGTGTGTTCACCTCTGGTTGTGATGCAAGTAACACATCTTCATGGAATGGACCATGCGAACAAAGTCCTGTGGGATATCTGTCCATATATACTGGAGCATGTTTCGAAGTTCCTGGAGTGTCTGTGGAACACGTGGTTGACGTCATCACGACGCAAAAACGGTGGAACAACAGGGCCGATGATCTCGTTGCAGTAGCACTGTCCACTGAGATTTCCCTCTACCAGTATCAAAGTGTCCTCTGTCTTGCTGTAATCCCACTCAATACCATAACGCTGCCGCCCCCGAACTGATCTTCTTCCATGAAACAATGATTGACATAACGTTTACCTCGACGTCGGTACACTTGAATCCGTCCATCGCTGTGGCTGAGGTGAAAACGAGACTCGTCAGTGCATAGAACTTGTCCCTACTGCATGTCTGCACCACTGTAGACGTGCTAGACGGTGGTTTCCTGTCAAAATGGGACGTCTGGCTGGTCTTCTGGCGACAATCCCTGCACATCTGAGGGCGACGATGTATGGTTTGTGAAGATATTCGTCACTGTTGCTGGCTGGAATCGATTTCGTAAGTGTGTTGTTCGAATCCGGTTGTCTTGTCAATTATTGGTTACGCGTGGCCATGCCACTCCGAGGACGGTCTCTGACTGCATACGTCTGTTGCCAACGTTGCCATAAACACCAAATGGTGTTCTGTGGACGTTAAATTGTCTTGCAACATCACGCTGACTCGATCCTGCTTCAAGGATACCAATGGCTCGCAGACGCTCATTTTCGGACAGGCGTGGCATTTCGTAATGTTGAATAATTGCGTAATTTTGTTGTTTTTCTGAGTGGTTGTTGTCAGCATGATGTTAAAGAATGCATATGGAATCCTGTTAACGCACATGTTTTTATTACCATTCTTGGGTAGTGAAATGCATGGGGCTTACATAAAAGTCAACTTTTGCATGGAATGCATGCTTTTCTGTAGCAGTTGAGTTTTTGTGACTTGATTCCATACATGTACTACAATATTGAAAACCAAACTTTACTTGTTTGAAAAAAACACTAAAATAGTGGTGTCACAGGAACTTTTGTTGTTGAGTATATATATCTAGACTTTGCACATGTACAAACCAATTTGTGAGGTGGTGCATGTATTTGCTGAATTGACATTTGCCATTTCCATGCAAACAACTGGGAATTCAGAAAAGTTTAATGAAGCTTTTTCTGAAACTTATCTCAGAACTGTTCAATATTCTGTGATGAAACTTTGTGCACTTAGAGGAATGTATAATTGTAATGTCTCTTGATGACTCTTGTATTGTTAGGAGATGAGATTGATCCTGTGTACAGTTTGTTGAAATGTGCTGCCGATCTGCCCAAGGCTTCCAAAGTGTGCGGTATTCATTCACAATGTAGCGGTCACCACAGCAAGCATGGCGGACATGGGGATAGCAGTGCCAGCACCTCCAAGACCTCCAGTCCTTCTTCTTCAGGTGAGAGTCCATAGTTTCAGCCTCTACACAGTATGCACCGTTGTACAGGTCTCACATTTGCAACCCTCCACTTTCTTTTCATTAAACATTTCCAGTTTAGACTGATATTTTTATATTTGTATACATTTCCAATTGTGTTTGAGTCATGTACAGAATGAATATGAATATTACAGCTAATTTCTGTTTTACTCACTGATTCAGTCAGGTTGGGGATGCTCTGTCATTACCCAGTCAGATGATGGTACTTTTCCTTTCACGGGTGAAAAATGAGAAAATGAGTTGAGGCATGAACTTACAGATGCTGGCTGTTGACAACACTGTCCAGCATGGGAGTTTGTCGCCTGCATTGTGTGTGCAAATAGCTGCAGCCTTTCAATGATGCACAACAGGAATACTGTGCATGGCCATGTCATGTGCAGGCGAAGTACTCTCTTTCAAGTGTGTACACAATGATGCGCAAACACAGGGCTTAGTAGATAATTAGGGTTTTACTCTGCACTTATGTTTCAAAACTAAAAACATTATCCGATAGAACATAATCACTTCTTATCACTATCAGAAGTTAAATGTTACCCAAACAACTTCATTTGTTGACAGCAAGATCTTTGTTTTGTCCCACACCACTAACACTTATTTCCTCCCTACCCCACGATGTGGGAAGACTGCCAGATGGGCATGGCACTCTCACTGACATACAAGGGGTGGCTGAAATGTTCTGAGCCTAGCACTGATGGACAGGGTTGATGGAGTTGGAGTATTTTTCAATATAATCACCTCCAAGTCCAAACACTTCTGTCAACAATGATCAAGTGCCTAGATCCCACTTGCATAGGTTTCCTCCTGGTGGTGTAAAAAGTTCTCCAGGAGATATGACATCATCATCATTTGCATGATGCTTGCTTGTCAGTTCTTTCTTCAAGTTTGGGAAAAGGTGAGAATCTGACGATGCCAAATCAGGTGAATACAAAGGATGTTCAAGGAGTTCAAAGCCACTTTCAGGCATTGCAGCCATGGCAACAACAGACTTGTGCACCGGTACATTGTCCTGAATGAACAATTCACCTTTTGTGAGTTTTCCACTACATTTAGCCTTGATATTCATCACCCTGCTGCCTATAAGCAGATTTGAATAATATTGGCCATTAATGACGTGACCTTTTCGTAGGTAGTCCACCAGTAGGATTTCCATGGAATCACAGCAAACAGAAGCCTTCACTTTGCCAGCAGTTTGCCTTCTTTGAAGGAGAAGTTAGTTTCCACTGATTGTTGGTTAGATAATGGTGAACCCAAGACTCATCCAGGGTTGCAATTCTCTCAACAAAATCAGCTGTGTCTGCTTCAAAATAACTAAAGAGATGAGGAACCTGGAGCATTTCTGATCAGGAGTCAGAAGCCTTGAAGTAACGCAGTATGCTGAAACTATTGTCATGCCCTGTTCATTTCCCAGAATGTTTTCAACTCTGTCATAAGAGATGTATCGCCAATTGATGTGTGACGAGTCATCGATCATCCATAACTACACCATACCATCTATTTTATCAACGTTTTCCCTAGTGGTTGTAGTTTTCCTGGTCTTGGATCATATTCAAGGCTTGCTCTTTATCTCTTGAACTCTGCTGCCCACCTCTTAACAGTGGCAAAGGAAGGAGCATTGTCCCCTAAAGTGGACACCATGTCCACATGGATGGCTGTTTAGTTGGAGATACTCGTGGCCAATTTGGACCATTTTCTTCATCAGAGAATACCCGGTCATTTTGATGCCTGCAGAAATGTGCTGTCTGGTTGTGTATTTGGTTCAAGTGCAGCCTGTCAGCATGGAAAGTTTGCAGTATTTAATATCTGCAAACTGTTATGTGTGTACTATCCCGCCTTATTGTTACGCTCAGAACTTTTCAGCCACCCCTTGTAATCTAGGATGTCTGCTGGTCTGTCTGTTTTGCAGATATATTTTTAACTCACAAGAGCCAGTTTATGTCATCCTATTTGGTACCAACCTTGATCAACTCATTAAGCTGAAACTGGTTGTAGCTGATCATTAATTTAAGCAGCCAAAGTTGAAAAAAGATATTAACTTTTTAAATGTTTGATTGAATGAAAAGGATTGATTGTATTACAATTGTTCCCAATACATTATTTTCCGTAATTTCAGGTATTTCGTAATCAAACTATGAGACACTACTGTCTCACTCACTTAGTGAAATAATAATGAAATTTAAAACTTACTGATACATGATAGTTCCACGTCTGCAGTTCACACTCCAGGATACCAGCAGCAGCATCATGAACATGAGACAAAACACACATATATATAAACACATAACATCACACCAAGGATTATACCTAGGACTGCACATGTGGTCAAACAAGTGTTGAGACAAGGGCCACACATACATTCAGACAAGGGCCTTATATAGGTCAGACAAGGTCTACATATAGGGTCAGACAAGGACCGCATATAGGATCAGACAAAAAACACATAAAGGGTTCAGACAAGGGCCACATATACGGTCAGACAAGGTATACATATAGGACCAGACAAGGGCCACAAACAGTCAGACAAGGACCACATATAGGATCAGACAAGAACCACATAGAGGGTTCAGACAAGGGCCATATATAGCATCGGACAAGGACCACATATAGGATCAGAAAAGGGCCACACATTGTCAGACCAAGGCCACATATATGGTCAGACCAGGACCACATATAGGATCAGACAAGGGCCACACATTGTCAGACCAAGGCCACATATATGGTCAGACCAGGACCACATATAGGATCAGACAAGGGCCACACATTGTCAGACCAAGGCCACATATATGGTCAGACCAGGACCACATATAGGATCAGACAAAGGCCACACATTGTCAGACCAAGGCCACATATATGGTCAGACCAGGACCACATATAGGATCAGACAAGGGCCACACATTGTCAGACCAAGGCCACATATATGGTCAGACCAGGACCACATATAGGATCAGACAAGGGCCACACATTGTCAGACCAAGGCCACATATATGGTCAGACCAGGACCACATATAGGATCAGACAAAGGCCACACATTGTCAGACCAAGGCCACATATATGGTCAGACAAGGGTGAGACATAGGGCCACATACATGGTCAGACAAGAGACACACATAGGGTCATGCAGACATTGGGCCAAATATATGTTCAGTCATAGGGCCACATATACAGTCAGACAAGGGCTATATATAGGGTAAGACAATTTAAAGGCCACACATAGGGTCAGACAACAGCCACACATAGGGTCAGACATAGTGTCATACACGGCTCATTTACACGACTCCCCTGCACAGTGTTTTACCATTTTGCTCAGTTCTTGGAAAAATACTTGATTCTGATTGGTCAATCAGAAATTTGAAATAATAACAACCTCTGATTGAAACACCTGCTTTGACAGACATATCACAGTGGAAGCTAATATTCATGATAATATTCTTTCTCAATCATGCTAAAAAGGCTGTTTCAAATAATGATATGTGCAAATCAAGTTTATAAAAGATAGGGTTTCTATTCTTAGAACATACAAATTCAGTGTGGTAATATTTTGAGCATTTGCTTTGTTTGTATGTTTGTGTTTGTTTGTTTCAGCTGCACCCTCCCTTACTGGTCACAACTGTTTCAGTCCATCTCAGTGTTCATGCCCCTGTCACAGTTTTGTCACTTTCTCCCAATCTTGAGCCTTCCTTGCTTTACAGGCTGGCTGCCAGCCAGTAGTAGCTGTATTCTCATTGGTTCAGGTGCTGGTCCAGCCTCCACAAACTGGGTGACTGTGGTGTTCACACAGAAAAATCTACCCACCAAATACTGATAGCTTGGTCTACCTCCAGGGAAGAGATACTATTAGACATACCTCAGCTCAACTAAGATCACTACCCATAAAGTAATGCTAATCCACTTGTGCGCCAGTTTTCTTGGCAGACAGTAACACATTAAGCAACAAATATGAAACCAGATAGCAAGATGTCCACATACATGTGCAGACTCACACAGTAAAACTACATGCATCAACAACACGACTGTACATGAACTGGTGCACGGGCAAGAGCACTTGAAATATGTACTTGTGTAAGCCTCATGTGACTTAAAAGCTAGGTATTGTAAGATAGTCCATAAAACATAGTATGTGATTGTAACATTCTATTTTGTTATTGAAGGAAGGTAAAAACTTGAAGTTAGAAATGATGTTACCACATATTTGTCTTGGACAGTAGGTGGCAAACTGTTTGCCAGTTTGTGTACGTCACTAGTTGACGAGAGTGCAAGCAATATTACATAATCACACATACACAAATACTAACAACTGTTTTATAAATCATCACCATATCTTGTGCCAAGCTTATCTTGAAAATAGCAGGAGGAACATTATCTAAGTAGGGAGTCTTTTTGAATAACAGGATGTTTGTTTAATGTCAGTCTGATATTGACAGTACTGAATTTGGAAAGTGTTCCATTCATTTATTGTGATTGAAGTTTATTTCACCACAGAATACTATTCATTCACTATTAGTTGCTATTTCCATGTTTTATATTCATGATCGATAAATTTGTTGCCATTTTATGAGATCACTATAATTCAGATGAAACCTGTTTGCTTAAATATTTTCCCTTCTGTCGCTCTTCAACTCGAGTTTTGAGCCCACAACAAGTGCATTTAGGGGCAAACGATTCATGAAATTGAAATGATCTTAAAATTATTTTTTAATAATTATTATTATGCTTCTCCTGAAGAATGTAAATCTGGGTCTAAAATTACCCTGCACAAGGCATGTCAGCAAGTCCCCCCAGCACTTGACACCAAAAGGATATTCAGGTGGGATGACATAAATTTCAAAACAGATTTCTGCAAAATTTATATGCTGTAACATAATTACAATACTAAGACTTGACATAACTAGGGTTTTAGGCTGTTGTCAGCAATATTAATGCTTATCAGCTATTTCATGTGATGTAATCCAACACTGACTGAAAGC